CCAGCCCCACCTGGCGGGGCCTCCCCCCCCGCCGGCTCCCTGCACGACCCAAGGGACGCTCTGGGACCCCGCCGGCAGCACCCCACGCACCCCAGGGCGAGCGCTCCTCCGCCAGAGAGGTCCCGCCGGCCCCCGGGGAGCTGGTGCCAGGTCAGCTCTTCCGCCCTGCTCGCTCTCCCTTTGGCCCCAGCCGAGCTCCCCAGGACAAGAGACCGCTGCTGCTCCAGCCGTGGACGACCCCCCCGGGAAGGGGTAAACACAGCTCTAAGGCAACAAGGTGAGCTAGGAACACGGACACCACGACAGCGGAGCACCCCAGGGCTGCGTGCGCAGGGTAAAGCCACCCTGGAGACGGGTCAGCACCCGGCTGCAGCAGGGAGACGTGCCCGGTGCTCCAGCCCTGCCCTGATGGAGCCTCTCTGGTCCCTAATCACATCACACACACATCTGGGAAGGGGAAAGGTGGCTGCTGGAGTGGTCTGCATGAAACCCAGCTACGAACTGCAGGGGGGAGAGGAAAGAAAAGCTTTGCCAAGCCCCAACAACCCTCAGCAGGCCTGAGAGCTTTAGGCAGACCTGGAGCAACTCTGTGGCACCTGGCCACAGCCATGGGAGAGAGCAAGGCCCTGACCACATGCCACCCTGTCCTCACACGTTGGGGCCCCTTCCCCTCAACTCCGTTTTATTTCATCTGTCTGCACCTCCACATCTGATCTGGGACTGGGACCAAGGCTAGCTCCCACTCAGTGCAGACACCGAGCAGGGAGAGGAGTGGACAGGTCAGTCACCTTCACCTCGGTCACTGGGAAAGGTGATGAAAAAACTAACCTTGGATACCATTTCCAGACACAAGGAGGACAGGAAGGTGATCACAAATAGTCAGCGTGGATTTACAAAGGGGGAACGGCGCTTAACCAACCGGACACCCTTCTACAAGGGAATGATGGGCTTAGCGGAGGAGGGCAGAGCACTGGATGCTGTTTACCTTCACTTTAACCAGACTTTTGACACCATCTCCTCTAACACCGTCATAGACATGCTGATGAGCACAGACTGCACAAGTGCTCAGTGAGGTCAACTAAAACCTGGCTGAACCACTGGCCCTCAGAGGGTTCTGAGCACAAAGTCCACCTGGAGGCCGGTCACGAGTGGTGGGCCCCAGGGGTCCATACTGGGGCCAACACTCTTTAACATCTTCGTTAATGACCTGGGTGGTGGGACCGAACGCACCCTCAGCAAGTTTGTAGACGATGCAAAACGGGGAGGAGTGGCCGAAACACCAGCGGGCTGTGCTGCCACGCAGAGGGGCCTCAACAGGCTGGAGAGATGGGCAGAGAGGAACCTCATGAAGTTCAACATAGGGAAGGGCCAAGTCCTGCCCCTGAGGAGGAATAACCCCAGGCACCAGGACAGGCCTGGGGCTGACCAGCTGCTGGAGAGCACCTCTGCAGAGAAGGGCCTGGGGGTCCTCGTGCACACCAAGCTGAACAGGGACCAGCAATGTGCTCTCGTGCTAAAGGCCAGCAGCATCCTGGGCTGCGTTAGGCAGAGCGTTGCCAGCAGGTCGAGGGAGGTGATCCTTCCCCTCTGGTTGGTACTCGTCAGGCCACATCTGGAGTCTTGGGTCCAGGTCTGGCCTCCCCAGGACAAGAGATGCATGGAACTGCCAGAGCGAGTCCAGTAAAGGACCACAAAGATAACGAAGGGACCGGAGCAATCAATCATATGAACGAGGAGATGCTGAGAGAGCTGGGACTGTTGAGCCTGGAGAAGAGAAGGATCAGGGGGATCTTATCCATGGACGGTGTCAAGAGAACGGGGCCAGATGCTTTTCAGTGGTGCCCAGTGACTGGGCAACAGACAATGGGCACAAACTGAAACACAGGAAATTCCAGCTGAACATAAGAAAACATTTCTTCACTGTGAAGGTTGCCAAACAGCAGAACAGGCTGCCCAGGGAGGTAGTGGAATCTCCATCCTCAGAGATGCTGAATACCCGACTGGACATGGTCCTGGGCAACCTGCTCTAGGAGACCCTCTTGGAACAGGAGGGTTGGACCAGATGATCTCCAGAGGTCCCTGCCAACTATTATGTGATTCTGCATCAGCCCCACATATGTGAGGCAGGCAATGGATGCTGTATCAGGAAAAACACAGGTCTGGACAGCCCAAGACCTCTCTCCAGCAGGATTATGGACCCGCACTTCACCAGTCGCATTCTTGCATTTGGCTTTCAAGCAGCAAGGAGTGAGCACACGCTGTGCACCCCAGGCCTGCTCCAGCTCACAGCAGGTTTGAAAGGAGTCAGGACACGCTGTGCACGTTGCTGGGGTGCAGCTCACCGCAGTCAGCTGTGCTAGCTAGCCCAGACTGCAGGTTACACAGATGCAGCACCTGCCACAGCCGATCAGACCGCTGGTCCATCAAGTCCCGGCTCCTGCTTCCAGCGCAGACCCACACTTAACGCTTCAGAGGATAGAGAAAGCCCAGGATGCACCTGGCCGGTTGTACAACACAGCCCGTTGCAGGGAAGGGATGTCTCACTTAGAGCTGTAGCAGAATCCCTGGGAGACTTTCCAACCACACGTAGAAGCCAACAAGAGCAGCACAAGCTTCCTGACACTCTGCCTTCCACCCCCGTGCGGGCAGCCTCTCTCCCTGCTTGCCCAGACACTTACCTTGGCTACAAACTGCTTGTCCTTCTGATCCAGGTTCGCTGTGGGAGCCACGTAGTCCCTCCAGATTCTCAGCTTGCGCTCCTTGGCGTACCTGGCAAGAGGCAGATGTCTGTGATGTCCAGGTGCCTGGGACACATGTCCCCAGGAGAGGGGACAGAACATGTAGTGTGTCGCTGCCCGGGTTGTCGCAAGGTGACCCCATCCAGACATGCAACCTGCATGCAAACGGGCTCACCCAGCGGCAAGGCCACTTGAGGACGGCTCTAAGCCAAAGCCTGCACCACATCTTGGCACACCAATACCAGGGTCTGTCCAGCCTCTGCAGCACAGAGGGGCCACCACTACCCAGCAGGAGGACACAGCTGCTTATTGCCGGTCCTGAATCCAAGCTGAGGACCTCCACATCTGGCTCCTCTATTATAACCTGCTGCCCGAACCACGATAAAGTGCACCCATCTCGGCCTTAGCTTGGGGCCTAAGACTCACGCTGAGGCAGAGAACATCAGCCCAGGCAAGCTAAAATCTCTGCGTAAAGCCCCAGAGCCTCCCAGCACAGCGGAGAGAGCTGCCTCCCCACGCACAACAGGCAAAACACCGCTGAAGGGTCAAGCGTACAGAAGAGCTTGCAGTTAAATTGCTTTGCAAAGTCCTGGCAGAGGCAGCAGTCAGCAGCACGGCCTGCGCAGACCCACAAGGAGAGACCGTATCTACCTCCCGCTGCTCCTCCCAGGGAGCAGCACTGGGGGGACCCCCAGGCAGCAGAGGGAGAGGTGCCAGAGTCACCCCAGGCACCCTGCCGACACGGGGGAGCGCACCCCATGCCCCGGGCAGGGGGGACGCCTGGGCAGAGCCCCGGCAGCCAGCTCCAGCGCTCCCGGCAGCGGGCTTACCTCTCGGCAGCGCGCAGCTTGTCAGCCCCGCGGGTGTACACAGCGATGGACCAGTCCACGCAGCGGGCGAAGCCTTCCTTCAGCAACAGCTCGGTGATGTTGCCGTTCTGCACAGAAGGGGAGGAGGCGGACGCTCAGCTGCACGACCTGCAGCGTTCGGACGCCAGCCCCTGAGCCCCTCTCCCCCACACCCGTGGGGCCAGCTCCTGCCACCAAAAATCACACCTTTCTGACAGCCACTGCCACTGCCCGAATCCAGGACTTCAGCCAGGTTGGGGCGCACTCTTATTCGTAGCCACAGGGAAGAACCCCCCAAACCTCCCCACCTTCCAGCCTGGCTGCAGGTGCCTCTTTGAGAGCCTACAGCAGCTTTCTGCACCCACCAGGCTGGGAAGAGCTAGCAGCATCCCCCTACTCTAAGCAGGGCTCCAGCAGAGCAGAAAGCACGGAGAACTTGCCTTCTCTAGTCCCAGCCCTGCTGCAGAGCTGATCTCTGCAGGGGGGAAGCTCTCATGTCCTGTTCACCCCTCAGACATTACGGTCCCTCAAGCCTCCCCAACTCCTCTAAGCCCTGCAGGGCCCAGCTACCCACAGAGGTACGAGAGGAGGCCACCCCATAAATTAATCACGCTCTCCTTGCCTGCTGCTCAAGAATAGACTGTGCTCTCACGCATCCACTGATAAGCACGTGATTCCCAGTCCTCCCAGGCCGCTTTGATCCCCCATCAGCGGCAGCTTAACCTTATAGTAAGCATTAGCAGCTTGGATAAAGGAATAACAGCAGTCCAAAGGCCCACAGGGTCCCAGCCCTTGCTACCACCAGCCCCACTTGCCGGGTGCAGGATGGTGCCCAGGATGTTCTGGTTGTG